TATATATATATATGTATATGCTGTAGTCGTTACGCGTTTCGAACTTGCGCTGCGATCGTCGTGTCCGAGAGAGAAATTATTTTTTTCGAGATAACGACGTCTGATCGCATATACGCGCTAAACACTAGAGAACGCTTTCGACTAGTAGTAGTATAGCAGCAGCAGCTATACGATTTAGTATTAGCGATCGCGTGTGACATATATATCTGTGTGTGGTGTTGTGTTGTATATTGTTAACCGACCTCAGAGCAGGTGAGACTACCCGCTGAATTTAAGCATATTACTAAGCGGAGGAAAAGAAACTAACTAGGATTCCCTCAGTAGCTGCGAGCGAACAGGGAAAAGCCCAGCACCGAATCCCGCGGTCGATATCGGGCGCCGGGAAATGTGGTGTTAGGGAGGATCCGTTTATCCCGAGGTCGCGCGGCGAGTCCAAGTCCTTCTTGAACGGGGCCACAGCCCATAGAGGGTGCCAGGCCCGTAGTGGCCGCTGCCGATCGCGGGAGGATCTCTCCTCAGAGTCGGGTTGCTTGAGAGTGCAGCCCTAAGTGGGTGGTAAACTCCATCTAAGGCTAAATATGACCACGAGACCGATAGCGAACAAGTACCGTGAGGGAAAGTTGAAAAGCACTTTGAAGAGAGAGTTCAAGAGTACGTGAAACCGTTCAGGGGTAAACCTGAGAAACCCGAAAGGTCGAAAGGGGAAATTCATTCGCGTTTCGGCCGTCGGCGATGAGCGGTCGCGCGACGGACGGCGTTCGCGCGTCGTCCGCGCCTTTCGCTTTTCGATCCGGCGTCGAACGCGTGCACTTTTCCCCTAGTAGGACGTCGCGATCCGTTGGGTGTCGGTCTACGGCTCGCGGTGGAGTCCGTGTACGATCGTTTCGGCGATTCGTGCTCGAACCCGCGATGTTCCGGCCGACTCGCTCGACGGTATACAGATGGCGCGAGGCCGCTACTTCTTCAATTAGCGTCCGACCCACGACAAGCACGTTCGATGCTAAGACGGCGATCGGACCTAGCGCCCGGTTCCGTCCCCGGACGACTGTTGGTCGTGCGGATTTCTCGGACAGACCTCGTTTGAAACGCCGATCTGCGACGCTATAGCTTTGGGTAATTTCAGGACCCGTCTTGAAACACGGACCAAGGAGTCTAGCATGTGCGCGAGTCATTGGGACATAACTAAACCTAAAGGCGCAATGAAAGTAAAGATCCGCCTAGCGCGGATTTAGGGAAGATGGGCGGCACGTCTATAAAGCGGCCGCTCCGCACTCCCGGGGCGTCTCGTTCTCATTACGAGAAGAGGCGCACCAAGAGCGTACACGCTGGGACCCGAAAGATGGTGAACTATGCCTGGTCAGGACGAAGTCAGGGGAAACCCTGATGGAGGTCCGTAGCGATTCTGACGTGCAAATCGATCGTCGGAACTGGGTATAGGGGCGAAAGACTAATCGAACCATCTAGTAGCTGGTTCCCTCCGAAGTTTCCCTCAGGATAGCTGGCGCTCGTCTGTGACGAGTTTCATCCGGTAAAGCGAATGATTAGAGGCATTGGGGTCGAAACGACCTCAACCTATTCTCAAACTTTAAATGGGTGAGATCTCCGGCTTGCTCGAACTAATGAAGCTGCGAGAATCGAATCAGAGTGCCAAGTGGGCCATTTTTGGTAAGCAGAACTGGCGCTGTGGGATGAACCAAACGTCGAGTTAAAGCGCCTAAATCGACGCTTATGGGATACCATGAAAGGCGTTGGTAACTTAAGACAGCAGGACGGTGGCCATGGAAGTCGGAATCCGCCAAGGAGTGTGTAACAACTCACCTGCCGAAGTTACTAGCCCTGAAAATGGATGGCGCTGAAGCGTCGTGCTTATACTCGGCCGTCAGCGGCATGTGCGGTCTCGATCCGCGTAAAAACGGATCGGCCATGAAGCTCTGACGAGTAGGAGGGTCGCGGCGGTGCGCGCAGAAGGGCTGGCCGTGAGGCCGTCTGGAGCCGCCGTCGGTGCAGATCTTGGTGGTAGTAGCAAATACTCCAGCGAGGCCCTGGAGGACTGACGTGGAGAAGGGTTTCGTGTGAACAGCCGTTGCACACGAGTCAGTCGATCCTAAGCCCTAGGCGAAAGCCGATGTTGATGTGGCGTTGTTTTATAAATATATGTATGTATGTGTGTATATATAAAGAACACGCCCGTCGGGCGAAAGGGAATTCGGTTCCTATTCCGAAACCCGGCAGCGGAACCGTACAATAGTCGGGCCCTCGCAAGAGAGTTCGTCGGGGTAACCCAAAAAGACCCGAAGACGCCGTCGGGAGACCAGGGAAGAGTTTTCTTTTCTGCATAAGCATTCGAGTTCCATGGAATCCTCTAGCAGGGAGATATGGTTTGGAATGCGAAGAGCACCGCAGTTGCAGCGGTGTCCTGGTCTTCCCCTCGGACCTTGAAAATTCGGGAGAGGGCCACGTGGAGGTGTCGCGCCGGTTCGTACCCATATCCGCAGCAGGTCTCCAAGGTGAAGAGCCTCTAGTCGATAGAATAATGTAGGTAAGGGAAGTCGGCAAATTGGATCCGTAACTTCGGGATAAGGATTGGCTCTGAGGATCGGGGCGTGTCGGGCTTGGCGAGGAAGCGGGTCGCGGCTGACGTGCCGGGCCTGGGCGAGGTGAAACGTTCTGTCGTATGCGTTCGCGCGTGTGCGGTAGGATTGCGGATCCGAACTCGGTACCGTGCCTTGGCCTCCCGCGGAACCGTCTTGCTGCGAGGCCCAGAGTGCGCTCGCAAGGGCGTTCTGGTGTCCTCTTCGGCCGCCATTCAACGGTCAGCTCAGAACTGGCACGGACCGGGGGAATCCGACTGTCTAATTAAAACAAAGCATTGAGATGGCCCCTGCGGGTGTTGACTCAATGTGATTTCTGCCCAGTGCTCTGAATGTCAACGTGAAGAAATTCAAGCAAGCGCGGGTAAACGGCGGGAGTAACTATGACTCTCTTAAATATAATATAAAGGTTAGAATCGCACGACAAGCCGGGGCCCCTATTGTCTTTGGGGCATCGCGCATCTAATAGAATATCACACCAGCTCGATTGCCCCCCGCAACGCCGGTTTCCGGCGTCAAGCCGCTAGTGCCCTTTTGGCAAGTACATCGTGTCCGACGGGGCCAAAAAGGCGTCCAATCAATCATCTACCGGCCCCAAGGAACACACCAAATTCAGCATAACTCGACAGTTAACGCCGTACTGGCCGTATTAAGTGCGGCCAGGTATCAGGAGACCAGGAGCTGGGAGGAGGTAGTTCGGAGATAAATCTTTCACACGCGATATCTCGGGAACCGACCACGTAGCGGCAACGTCTTCACTCCCATACGCGGAAAGGACAGTACTTTTATCTACCCAAAGACACTCAACAACAGCGGCGCATGCGCAATGGCGGATTCCAAGAGAAGACATTTAAAACCGCTGTTGCGGCAGAGAGAGTTAGAACACGTGACATGACGTCACGTCACCCCACCGCAAGAGGAAATTCGATATAATGAGGGGGAACCAGTTAAATCCCTCCAGCGGGTGGAAATCGACTGCCGGTGGCCCAACAGCCACCGGAACCAAATTGGCAGGTCTCGAATAACCGTTTCTCCAATACCAGGGCCCAGTAATACGGTGACCCTGCAGCCTGCCAATGCAGCACCATACAGGTGTCAAATATGCGAGAGGCCCTATGAGACAAAAAGTGGCTCAACAAACATCTCCTAACATGTGGCAAGCGCGATCGAACTAAATGCCAATATTGCAAAGCAGGTTTTACTACATACACAGGGTGCGGCTTCACGAGCAGAGGGCACACCCGAAGCAGAAACGACAGCAGGAGGAGGGAACTACGAAGGCCTGATTCCGAAATCTATGATTACTGGCAAACATCGAGATCCAGTCACATAAAGGCCCCTTTATGGCGAAAATGGTTGCCGAATCAGGTCTGACGAAGGACCAAATACGGCATCGAAGGGATAAACCCATCTATAAGCAATACCTCGATGCCGCTAGGAAGAAACAGCAACCACCCTTCTCCCAGTGTTGCCCTGTGAGCCGCCCACCTGCCCAACGAACGAGAGATCGACCATCAGGCAGCGACATCGACGCCACCAACAGCTCGCGACGATGTAAAAGAAGGTGAGTGCTCCTCGCGGTTGCGTCCGCACTATCGCCAATCACTCCAGATCGATGACAAGCGGAAGAGGATTCGGAATGAATCGATGTCGCCTCTGTCGCAGCCTACAGTAAGGAGACCCCGCACCGATGCAGTCAACCTCACCGCCAACTCCCCGCACAGGTCGAACAAACCCAGGTGGTCATTGAACCAGCGCTGCGCGAATACCTCGCGTCTGAACGCGAAGCAGCGCTGGCCAATGGGAACGCCATCTGGCGGACCTGTGCCAGGCAGGATCATCGCTTGCGGTTAATGATCTTGCCTCCTATCTAGACAATTGGATAATAGAACATTTCCAAAAAGGGGGAAGGAAATACAACCCAAATGGTCACAGAGGTGGACCAAAATCAAATTACGGAGGTACTAGACCAGGAAGGGTCCACGGTAGAATCATACAAAAAGGCCCAGGATCTCTACCTCCGTAACAGATCAGCTCGTGGATAAAATCATTTCAGGAACTCCACTAGACTCTACTGAAGAGGTACCACCTCTAAAAGCTTTGAGGAGCTTATAGCGGGATCTTCGAGCGGGCTGCGACGGAGACGATGACGGTTCATCCCGAACCACGAAACACCGATGCCACCACTTTCGCTCCATTCGAAGAAAGCGAACTAGAGGCAGCCAAAACAGCATGGGCTAACTCAGCACTGGTGCTGACGGGATAACGGTGGCATCGGTTAAAAATACGAACAACAGGGTGCTATGTTTTTTATATTCAATAATCCTTATGAGAAACGTGCACCCTGCCATCTTCCTGCGGTCTAGGACCACAATTATATATAAAGACGGCCAACGGAGCGAGGCGGCG